CCTCAGACCAACGGGCTGACGGAAAGACTCAACAAGACCATCGCCGACATGATTTCCATGTACGTCGACGTGGAGCACAAGACATGGGACGAGGTGTTGCCGTATGTCACCTTTGCCTACAACACGGCCGTACAAGAGACCACCGGAGTGACACCCTTTCAACTGGTGCATGGGCGCAAGGTAATGACAATGCTGGACGCTATGTTACCCCACGAACCGGCTGCCGACGCAAGCGACGACGCCCAGGTGGTTGCCCAAAGGGCAGAAGAAGTCCGTCAGCTCGCCAGACTCCGGACACAAGCCCAACAACGTATCGACACTGGCCGCTACAACCTTCGTCGTCGGGACGTCCACTTCCAGCCCGGAGACAGGGTGTGGGTGTGGACACCGATTCGCCGCCGCGGTCTCAGCGAGAAACTCCTGAAACGTTACTTTGGACCTTACAAAGTGCTTCGTCGACTCGGGGATCTGAACTACGAGGTGATGCCCGACGGAACACGGACTTCGTCACGCCGCCCCCCACGACCGGAAGTCGTCCACGTCGTGCGACTGAAGCCGTACTACGCTCGATAGGACTGTGGACCTTATGTGTTCCAAATGACTCTTTAGTTTACCGTTTTGTTTTGTTTGCTTCGTTTTGTTTTTAGGTTGCATCGGGACGATGCACTTTTTAAAGGGGGGAGTAATGCCGCGCGCGCACTGGCCAAGTAGGTAGCGCGCGCGTGGCCTAACGGTTATCGCGCTTGCCTCCCACGCGAAAAGCTAGGGTTCGAATCCTGGGAGTGACGTGTGTTTTGTTTATTCCTGCAATTTAGTGTTCTGGAGAATTCGAGAATCATGTTGCTTGTTCCAGGCCCGAATGTTCTACACGTCGAAGTTTCTACGCCGATTATTCCAGAGACCATGCATGTACATAAGGGGCTCCGCGTGGCGAGCCACAGTCAGTCTCGCCCCAGTGTTCGACTCTGCTGTCACGCCGACTTCGACGCCCGCGACGCTCTGTTATTGCTTTTTGTACCCTTTTATTTTTGGCACAAGTTCGCCACATTAAACGTTTATTTCTTGTTTATTTATTGTTTTGGTCACCACCCGTGACAATACTGCCTCGGGAGGCTAACGTTATATTCGGTTTTACGTGAAGTTGTTTTGGGCCCTCACTTTACAACTCCCTGCTTTATAAGTCATGCGCGCTAACATTTCATTAGGCTGCCGTATATCATCGCGAGAGTGCTCCAAGTACTGCAATACTTTACAATTTTGACATCTATTGCTGGCGGTGCGAACATTGCATTCACCAGAAAACTGAGCTGTTTAACATGGTATTTACGTGACCTCATCAGACTATATGATGGTCATCATTGATATTTATTTGTTCTTGCTGAAAAAATCAAATCCGGTGGTTCAAAATGCACCCTGCAGAAGGTTCGTGCTCCGTGAAACCCAAGTATTTGAGAGGCACAGATTATTATTCTTAGTGCATCGTCGTGAGGAACTGCGCGAGCATCTGGTACTACGAAAACGCGCTTCCTGGCAAGTTTTTTTGCAAACAAACTAGTTTCTGGTGTCACGCTTGCTGGCCCGCGCTGAAGATGCAGGGCAGAGGAACCTTTAAAACACAACCACGGTCTAATTGTTTTTTCTTTCTTTTTATAGGGTGCAGTTCTTGGGAGTTTTTTTTTTTCGGGTTTCACGGCGCCGGCGTAACCGCGCTATATTTAGCGAGAAAATTGACGTCACGTGACCTCAACATCAATTCAATTCACCGCTAAATTGATCGGGCGAATTCGCATAGACGCTCAGCTGAGCGTCTATGCATGCGAAGTCCCGTTCAAAACTTTCATAGCACGAGATTGAAATCCTAATAGCGGCCATACAAACAATATATTATAATTTCTGTTGTTAGGTCCTGGCAGACTACTATATTACGGTTATTACCTAACTTTCAATAAAAAATAAAAGAAATGAAAGGTGTTTTTTTTAGAGAATCGACTTCAAACTCGCAGGTTTTTTTAAAGAAAGACTTGTAAGTTTGAAGTCGATTTTCTAAAAATACCCACCTTTTATTTATTGCATTTTTTATTTACAGCTAGGTAATATAGGAATCTGTCAGGACCTACCAACAGAAATTTTAATGAAGCACGTACGCGAAAGACAACAAAAACCACGGCACTGCAGAGTATCTGCGATACCGTGTGATACGGCGGAGAAGACAGCGGGAGTGGCAAAGCAAGGGCGCCGCGACCCGTAAAAAGTATACGGAACCGCGCAATAATGCAAAAGTCGACATACGGAACTCGAAAAGAAAATCCATGAGTTTGCATGCGGCTAACTGGACGGGGCCACCGAGGACTGGTCGAGTCATAGTGAGAGCAACTGGTTGACCGTGGTGAGTGGTTAGAATTGACGGCGAGCAGGCTAATTCTCTCCAGGGTTAGTTTTAGTTCTTCTGGGGCATTTCTCTTATGTATTTTCTATAATGACTTGATATTTCTTGCACAAATTTTGTAACTTCGGAGTATCTCCCGAATGTAAACACCCGCAACACCCCCCCTCCCCCTTTCCTTGAGCATCGCGAGTGTGAAAAGAAAGGAGTACTTAGCATGGACTAATTGCGGTAGCAATGAGAAAAAAAAAAAAAAGAAGGAATGAAAATCTTCCGTGAGGTCTCAGTAAGGCACGCTATAACCCGCTGTGATACGACCTTTTCCCATTGCGTCTACGTCCGACATATCTCCCGGTTCCGCGCACGTCCGACATGCATCTTAAGGCTCCGGGGTCCGGATTAGAGCACTGCACGTGCCGGAATTTCTAGGCCCGGCCCGACCCGGCCCGGTAGAGACACGGCCCGGGCCCGGCCCAGCCCGACAGAGTTTTAAATTTCTAGGCCCGGCCCGACCCGGCCCGAAAGAGACACGGCCCGGGCCCGGCCCGAGCCCGACGGAATTGTTAATTTCAAGGCCCCGCCCGACCCGGCCCGATGGCTGTAGCCCGAAACAACCTATTTCCGTTTGAACCCGTCCTGTTTCGGCCAGTTCCCTAAACGCCCTTCTCGTTTGAATTGGTCCTGTTTCGACCCATTCCCTAAACGCCCTTCTTATTTGAACCAGTTTCCGAAACACCCTTTGCGTTTGAACGCGTCCCGTTTCAACCTACTTTTATGAGGCCCTGCACATCGCAACCTCTTCGCAAAAAGTCTTCATCGTTCTAAGCCTGGTCTGCGCACCTTTTCTGTTTAAGAATATGTTCTGAAGTAGCTTTACATGTCAACGTGTTCTTAAAATATACAACCCTTTTAGGCAAGCTTAAGTTTAATATATTCCTACTCAACCCCTTAAAACGTTTTTTTCAAGATGGTTCCCAATAACGTGCAAGCGCGGAACAGACTATGTACACTGCGCGACACTGATACTGCGAACACGACGTTGGCTCTTTTTTCGAATTTTACTTCGAAATGGTGTTAGTAGGCACCAAAGTATACCCCTTAGGTCTGTGGCCCAGATGAGCACTTCTAAAGACACTAATATTTTTGAAAACAGCGTTTTGATTCTATGAGATAAGCATAAAAATACGACGATCGCTTGTTCGCGCCAATATAGTGTCGCGCTCTGTGCAATAAGGGAGTCTTAGAATAATTTACTCAAGCACTTTGGGCAAGCTAAAATTAGCATCGCCATAGGTTTTACATCGCAACGCTATTTTTACGGCACCCAAAGCGCTTGCGTACGTTTTTCTAAATCTTCCTAATAGTGAACTAGATATTTTTGAGAGCGATGAATCGGACAGGTTGACAAGCATATGACTGGGACTTTATTTTGTTTACAATTTATAACACAACCCTCGCTCACACGGAAAAAGCTTGAAGGCTTTCTAGCTTCAAGATGTCTTTTAGTTATTATTTTTAACGACGCTGTAGTGAATTTGCACCTCACTTTTTTTTTTTTTTTTTGTATTCAATGAACCTAAAAGATTAATGAGCAAACTTCTCGCTATCAACAACAATTTATGATTTACGGCACAAAATTGCCCAGGCACGGCCCGAGCCGGCCCGGGCCGGCGCGGCCCGAGAATTTTTTTGTTCAAGCCCGAGCCCGGCCCGGGCCCGAGAAAATACGTGCTACCCGGCCCGAGCCCGGCCCGCGGGCCGGGCCGGGCTCAGGCTTTCGGGCTGGCCCGGGCCCGTGCAGTGCTCTAGTCCGGATACGTCCGACGTACCTTTAGACACAGCGATGATTTATATATCATTCGAAAGACCGTTTTAATAAGAATATAATACATAAAGTAATGTAAATAGCTATACAATTTTGTTTTTACATAGAGGCACAGAAATCTACTGAAAAAACCTCAAAAGATCCATATGTGCGCATTTACGACACAAACAATATAGCCTCCCCAATGCTGTACATGTTCAGGTTAATAATTCTCATGAACTATTTATTATAAGTGCAAAATAGTCTAGATTTCTAAAATTTGTAGTTTGCTGAGTAGGTGACCGTGTCACTAAACACGACATACACGAAACCTTCAAAAATCGAATATGCAGCTCTTGAGCACTCAAAAATTACTTTCTCTTAAAATATTATGTTTTCTGGAAATTGATTACGTGTCCTGCACATGTTGAGGAGTAACATATTAAAACATAAACAAACACAAAAGGTATACGTCCCGACTCGCGTGCATGATGTTATCTGAACAGAGCCAGGAACGAGGCGAATCGCGGTTTTTGAACTGCTGAACAGCCTGCATATTCTGAGGTTGTCGATAATATCCCAATAAGTATATTACTCGAGCAGAGTAACGTCCATCGATTCACCACATGAGTTGCATTCACCTACTGGCTTACGTTGGCCTCTTCTTATCGCTGTTCTTCATCAGCTAAACGAAAATTCGATGAAACATAGTTTTTTCAACTTTATCGCGAGATATTCCTAATTTATTTCCTTCGTTCAACATTTAAATAACTCAGCGCGTTGTTAACTCTAATTTTTAAAATTTTTTTTTAGGGAGGACTGAGAGGCGTTGTCTGGACTGACTGCATGCAAGCCCTCGTTACAATATTCGTACCAATCACGCTCTTCATCAAAACAATGTACGACTCCCAGAGAGATGTTTTCAAACCTCGTCCTCTCAGCGACTTTGATGTTGGTACCTACGCCCTGGAGTAAGATCGCAAGATAGTTATTTTGTTATTCAACCGATATTTTAGAAAAAAAAGAGAAGTTCGAACTATTCAATAATACACGTTGACATGCGTATTTCTGCGAACCCACCTCGTGTCTAATAGAGTGGTTTGTAGTCACTGAGAGTATAGTAAGAAACGCAGAGAGTGGCCATGTCCCGAGCATGTCATTATCATTCGGCAGCCAATTAGATTAGCAGATTAGCCGACCAGATCGCCGAAGAACGAGCCACGAAGCAATAAACGTGAACATAATGAGCCGCACTCTCGGTTTCTTATAGCTAAACGTGGCTGTAGACCAACCCGTCCAGATTAAATGATTTCAAAAGCCGGTCGTCAGAGAGCCATTCCTTGATTAGGTCAGGTCGCAATGAAAGAGATCGTAGAAGGGCGGTTCTTCAAAGAGACGCCCCTTTTTTAAAACATTTTCTTCCCATTTCAATAGATCTCCGGCTGTGACTTCTCATTCGTCAAGCTGTCATTTAGCACATGGAAGTATTCGCAACGTTTCAGAATACTGTAAACCCTTTACTTCCGCGTCCTCTATTTTTCGTCAATCGGACACAAAGGTAATAATCGCGGCCACTAAATGTCGCGACTTCCAGACGCCTGCGTTGAAACTCCTAAGGACCGAAATTTTCGCGTGCCCTTACAGGGGCAGTGCAACGATTTTCAGACTTTGGCCAATTAACTGCGGGAATCAATCTGCGTCACCTATGGAACGAAAAACCGAAAGCCGCATTTTCTCGCGAGCGCTAATTCTTATTAAAAAAAAAAAAAAAAAATGAAACCAATCGAAGGTCGAAGTGCCTCTCAACTCTCCACGCGGACTTTCGAGTGACGGTTCTGGGGGTTCACGTGGTTTCCAGAGACCCCAGCCGCTTCCTCCGCGATTGTCAACTTTGAAAAGGTTAGCCTCTTCGAAGGTCGCGGCGAGCGATGAACGCAAGGGACGGTTCGCCACGGGGCTGACAGCGAGTGTAGCAGCGGAGGGGGACAGGGTTTGTTGACTTCCGCGTATCCCCCAGAGACGCCGTCATTTTTGTTCCCGTAGCCGCCACCGGCGGCTGCAGATCGGCAAATAATTCGTTTTTTGTCTAGCGATTACGCAGCAGAATTGCCGTTTTTTTGGGGAAAGGTGACGCATTTTTGGTCACTTGGGCTTGTATGAACAATATAAAAAATGCAAACTGGCAATTCTTTCAAGATTAAAACCGTTGCACTGCTGCTTTAAATATTCGCGAAATTCGCAAAAATGAAGGGCTCGCGAACCTAAAAGTTTTTAGTAAATCATATAAAATAGCGCAACAGAAAGACAAGGACAAGAAGTATACAGGACAGGCGCTAACTTTTAACTAGTTTTATTCAGGAAAATTGAACACATATACACACGACAGGCAAGGCAGCACCACGTAAAAGTTGATTAATTTTTCACCCGATCACTCAAAAACTGAAATTCATTACAATGAAGAACAATACAAGTGTCGCTGACACATGCCGTCCCACTTTTTTTTATAAAAAAAGCTTCCAATAGCTCTCGAGCGACCGTCTCTCGGCTTCTTTCTAGTATCCGTATCTGCTGAAGTCGCGGAACACAGCCACACGTGTCGTAAAAGTTGATTAATTTTTCACCCGATCACTCAAAAACTGAAATTCATTACAATGAAGAACAATACAAGTGTCGCTGACACATGCCGTCCCACTTCTTTTATTTTCCTGAATAAAACTAGATGAAAGTTAGTGCCTGTCCTGTATACTTCTTGTCCTTGTCTTTCTGTTGCGCTATTTTATATGATTTACTAAGATGAACCAATTAGCGCAACAACGTACCCTACTAAACCAAAGGTTTTTACAGTACGCTAAAAAATTCGCGCCTCAACGGCGCGCGAATATCTTTTTTGTTTTCGGTTTGATCAGACAATAACCACTGGTGACCACATTAGACTGATGCGCGACCAAATACCCGACCGACCGTACGACGTGCTGGAAAGATGGCCGAACCCGAACACACACAGGTCATTCACGTCAGGTCGTGATTGGTTGCCGACGGGACGGATTAGGTCATCCTTCTGACACGTCGTATACGGCCTGTCGCGGGTTTGATCGTTGGACGCGTGCAGCCCATCTCCCTCCCCCCCCCCCCCCCCCCCCGTCCCCTTCCTTCCCCGAGTAATTATCGCCTGTTTGTAGCCATAAAAAAGCGCATGCGAGGATGCTATTTCGAGGTCATTGACGATTTTAAAGCAGTTCCTCAGGCGCGCGTGCGAGGCACTTTTAACAAGTTGTTTCGGCAGGCCGTGAAAGTGCTGGCACACAGGGGGTGCAAGTGCATTGTGAGCAGGGAGTGAAACCGTAAGCGTAGCCCAAACCACAAACCGATTACGACCGAAATTTTTTTCGTAACCGGAACCGGAACGAAACCGATATTTTAATTCAATATTAACCGTAACCGCACCGGTAACCGCATTGTCTTAACCGGTAACCGATATATTGTCTTGGTTCAACGTTTTCTATTTTTAACAATAATCCAGCGGGACATTAACGATCATCTTGAAATGTCATCGGAATTTTCAGAGAGTCCGCGAAAGCAGTGGGGAAAAGGAGCGGGGAAGTGAAAACGAAAGCGTCGGCGCGCGGAGCTGGCGGTGGGTCCGTGTTCTGGACGGCGGAACGGCTGGGACGGCGCCTTTGTGGACGGACGCGCTGGCGGCATGCATGTTTCCTTTTCTACGCTCCATTTCAGCTGAACCTGGCAAACGCTGGATCCTACAGGGCTGGTGGGCCACTAAGAGAGCCGGAGCGAGGCACGTGACAAAGCACCGCGGAATCAGAAACTCGTGTGGAGCGCCGTCACCTATTTCGCTTCGATGCTCTCATTGGTTTTCATAGAACCATAGATGTACACGTTTGCCTAGCTAAAGCTCGCGGTGACGGCTCCACTGTGGCCGGAGGTCTCTGTAGCCGCGACGATTTCAACAAAACAAGAAAACACTTGAGACTGCTTATGTGTAGGAATGCGAAAGCATTCTTACACGCAGCGCATTTCTACAAGCAGCGGGCCACGTCCTCTTTTTGCACATGGCACTCCGGCGGTGACATGACGCTCCCCCACTGCGCAGGCGCGGCGCCACCCCCCCCCCCCCCCCCCCCCCGGCTTCACGGTTTCCATGACGCAGCATCTGCGTTGCTGTGCTTTTCTTTGTGTTTTATTTCTGAGGCGCGTCTGTTTTGACCTTGAGCGCCTCCGCCGGCTTCACGGCTTCCTGGTCGAAGTGTCTGCGTTACTGTGCTTTTCTTTGTGTTTTATTTCTGAGGCGCATCTGCTTTGACCTCGAGCAGCGCGCGCTTGATGACGTATTTTTAAGGCCACCTTTTGGGGACAACGCCGAGGCCTTTTTTTGCGTAACAGGACATACAAGGATTTCGCCTTCAAACGTCTTCCCACACGTGACCATATGCTCTGAAATGACATAGAGAAGTCGGCTTATTAAAAGAGTCGTCGAACCGAAGAAAAAAAACTGTTTATAGGGGCGGCTAACCGGTATATGAAACCGTAAAAATTCAAAACCCTAAAAAACCAAAACGATACTGATTTGAAGAAAAAATGGTAGCCTTAACCGAACCGTCACATTTAACGGTTTCAGTCCTTGATTCTGAGTCACAGCGGGAGTATGCCGTGAGGGTGAATTTATTCTTCGACCTCTAAGTGGTCAGTATCTAAAACAAACAAATATATATATATAAAGAATAAAATAATGTGTAAATCAATATTGTGCGAACACCCCTCGCATAAATGTTTCTTTTCAAACAAATAAAATGCTAACAACGTGATTCGAGATCAAATAAAATAAACAACATATATAAAAAAGATGGCTCTCTAGGCCAACGAACAGAGCTGCTATATAAGTTGTTACTTGTATTTCTATATTTATTTTCGTATAATCGTCTTGTGTTTCCTCCTAGCACTACTTTGGACTTCACGAAAGACGAGAATATCTGGTCCTGCCTAATAGGAGCGCTCCCGCTGCATGTTTACCGAACTGGTATGGATCAGATGGTCGTTCAAAGATACATGGCGTCCAGGACCCTCGAAGACGCAAAATGGTATTTCTGGCGCTTCAGAGATTTAAATAAACGGACAATTCGCGGACAACCAAAGTCCGTCTTTCGGCTTCATGGCACCCTTATGTTTTAACAACACAAGGGTGCCATAGAAACACCATTAGACTGATGGACTTGTTCCGATAGCTTTCTGTTCCTTACTCTGCTGTAGACATCTGAAGGAAAGGAGTGACATTTTACTATAGTATTAGGCACCCCATTCCAAACTTCCATCTTTGTTATTCCAGTTGGCTTGCTTCTGTCATACTCCCACCCTTCTCAATGAACGCGCGAAACAATATAACAGGAGTTGATGCAAATCATGGAACATTTGAAGAGTGACATATCAGGAAGAATAAAAGTAATATACTGTAACATTTTCTTCAGATATTTAATAAAGCATCGTGAAATTCAGGCTTTGATGTTCAATAAAGCTTTGATCGGAACACAAGACTAATATTTCATTGTTTGAGTTGCAGGACTGCAGGAGTTGGAATGTCACTCCTATCATTATTCTGCTTGAGCCTAATTGGCATGGGAATGTTGCTCATCTACTGGTTCAGGGACTGCGACCCTTTGTTATCGGGTTCCATCGAGCAACTTGACCAGGTGGGCGACGATTTATGTATTTAATCAATCGGACACTTTGCATACGAGAGTCGACTTTTGTGTTACCCCCCTCTTACTATTTACACGAAACTACTGGGGAATGCGAGCACTTGGATTCTGTGGTCCGGCTGACATTGCAATGGACAGAGCTGCATTGATAGGACAGTTTTGAACTTCTTTTATGAAAACAAAAATAAAATATTTTTCAGTCATAGGTACACGTCAAAAGTAAGCTTAACTTTACATCCTTCACATAGCATGAAAACTATGTATCAGGCATAAAATTCTTATAATCCAACGTAACTTGGAATTTTAGCTATAGTCACTGAATGCTTGGAAAGCGCAGAGCGTGGGCAATTATGTTCACGCTTTCTGATTCGTGATTGGTTCTTCGGCGTCCCTATCGGCGAATGCCGCGATCTCATTGGCTGCGGAAAGGTAATAAGATGCATAACACGCCCAGCGTTTCTTGAGCTGTCAGTGACCATAATAACAGCGCGAACAGTGTGATAATAATTTAAGGTCGTGTTATCGAAAACTATATGGTTTGTTCCTTAAACTGACTTTGCAGATACTGCCCTTCTATGTGAAGACGCATTTCGTTGAATTTCCGGGATTTTCGGGTCTCTTTCTCGCTGGAGTTGTCTCGGCGGCCACCAGGTATCAAGTACAACATCGGAGCATTAGACGATATACGAAACTGCTTGGTGTTCTGGAGCACTGTGTGTGCGGCCATCTTAGTAGTATCAAGTTTCTTGAGTTTTGGTTTCTCAGCATTTCACGGGTAGAGACACTCTGCTAAAGTTAACTCTAGCTCTGCCACTGATTGTGATTCAGCAACATTATTATTTTCTTACTTCCGTTATGCGTTTCATCTCTGGGGACACCTTCAATTCTTATTTTGGACGCGAAGACACATAAAGTCTTACTGTTTAGCGGTAGACTGCTCCACTCCAATGCATGCGACTCAAGGGTTTGTTTGCTTTTTTTTAGCTGTTACTGGCGAAATTTTTAAATGGTGGAGAGCTCGGAGTTCGTGTAAAGGAAACTATGCATTGGGCAATACTTTTCATGCGTTGCAAAAAGCTCAGATTGGTTTCAAATATCATCGGCCTCAAGCACAGTTGATGGATGTCGCGCCGGCCAATAAAGATTTGTTCAACCCTGGCAGAATGACAGAATTCCCTTTCTCAAAACTCCCCCCAAATACCCTTGCACACACGCAAAAAAAATCTTGACCTCGGCTGCGTAAAGAAAAAATACAAAAAAAAAAATGAGAAGAGGGCCGTAAAATAAACTTGACATCGCCGGTGTTGTTTCACATGACGTCTGCGGCGTAGCTTTTTGCCGCCACCGACATCGAAGTTTTAGCCACTGCAATAAACCTAAGCAAGTGATGTAATCGAACGTGCACGCGTTCGACGGAAAAGGCAGCGAAATCCCGTCTCTATGAGATTTAAGAGCAAACAGGCACGTCGTCCGAGTCTGTTGTGTTTTTTTTTTTTATTCTACGTAGTCGCACTTTAAATCTTCAAGAATATTTTATCAACAAACTCTCCCGTTTAGCTTTAGAGGTGTTTTACAAACCTCACTTACTGACGCCAGATCAAGTGTATAGAAATCACTGTTAAGCAATGAGATTCTTTTCTGACCGTCCTAGTAATACTTTCTTTTCATATATATGGCATGCAAATGAAGCACCTTGAGGTGTTTTCAGCTTTTGTTGTTCACTGTTAACCATACGCATCTCCGATGATGGTTGGTGGCGTGGATTATGAAAACTGTAATCTTTTTGCCTTGCTTCACAGCCTTCGTCACGTTCGCATAGATTGAGCACATTGCTCATCAAGAATAAACTGTGGCTCTAGTCCACGCTGTGAAGGAGGTTGGGTATCGAAGCTGTAAACGACACCCACAACGATTACTCATGCGACGTCACTTGAAAAGCGTGGTGACGTCACTACGTGATTTCTATGCTGTTACGTACTTTTCCACTCGGAGTAGCTTACGCAACTGTAATCTCCCTATCGAAAAATCTCATTTTTATGAGAAATTTTTGTGTCCAATAAACACATATGAATCATACAAGATATAGAAGTACATCAGGAAAGCATATAAGAAACTTACGAGAAGTTTCTTGTATGGTTCTTATTTATCTTATATCGTTCTTATATAGTTCTTATATGTTCTTATATATCTTGTACGATTCATATGTGTTTATTGGACACAAAAAATTTCTCATACAAATGGCTTTTTCACTAGGGCTTTACCGGGAAACACACGCGGTGAGATGGAACGTGCTTCGCATCGTTCGCAGGTGCCGTTATCATCCATCATGCGGTGTGCACTTCAAACGGGGGCTTCGAATGACGTCAACCGCTTTCGAAGCAGCTGCATAACTAATATTTACCGGAACGCGTGGGAGGGTGTTCCTATTGTTCACACGCGCCTTATCATCCATATGTGGCTTTGATGCTTATTTTGTGGTTTTCTTTATTGAAAAAGATACTGAGCTGTATGCTGTATGCCTGATTTCAAAGGAGATATGATGTTTTGCCTTCAATTGTTCGCCGGGAGGTTTTTGCTTACAACGCCAACGACTCGAAAATACAGCTTCGCTGCAAAAAACAGAAACAGAAACCACAGCATGTACCAGAGGAAAAAATATATTGAGAAACGAATTCGGTAAAACTTCGTGAAAATATTAGGGCCCAGTTCAACACTTGTAAATGGGTTCGCACCGTGCGATAACGTCTGCATATTTTTTCACGTTGTCGCCATTTCTTTTTGTCAAAACGTGCGCGTAAATTAACAAACAAAAAAAAGAAAATGTGAACTCAAAAAAAAAAAAAAAAAAAAAAAGAAAGGGGGGAACGGGGAGAAACACAGAACGCAGCAACGCGTTGCCATCGCATTCCTCGTACGAATCGCGGTCGCTTGTTTACATGGGTTCTCTTCTCTACCCCTTAGGTCACTGGTTTTGTTTTCTTGCCGCTACCAAGATGGCGGACGTAGTTCTCAGCACCCTACTACTAGATGGCGCTCTATAGTTTGCATTTCGTCTATTGTTTCTATAAAGCGACGTCGTACTAAAACACGGTTATAATAAAACACGGAATGGAATGCAATTATAAAAAATGTCTAAATTGAGAGATTTTATGTGCATTGGTACCACACAAAATGTTTTTTGACTTTGAAAATTACACCATAGAGGTATTATAATGTACGCTAGAGGTTCAACTGGCGCTAGTGTCTATGCGACTTTCGTGACGCAAATTGAAGCAGACAGCAACCATGCAGTCTACTTTTGCGGTGCTCCCGTGCATTCCTATGGGAAAACGCGCGTGCATTTTGTCTGTTTGACAGAAAATAACACAAGACACTTTGGTTATTTGGGTCGTACCGAATAGTATGTACCTTGATTAACGCTCTAAAAGTGTAATCGCTTTAGTTAGCGCATTTTTCTTAACCAGTGAACGATGTTTAACGTCGCTACATTTCAGTCCCGAACGTGTGTTCCGCAGCAGGTGTGTAAAAACAAGCAACGATTCAAAGCAAAATTACAATCGAAAGGAATATAGAGTGTGTTCAAGGCTCGCCAGCATTACGGAGACGCTTATATATTGATAATATGCCAGTCCTGTCACTATCTGAAAATGATAGCGTCGTGCATGAGCGGATGAAAACATTCAAAACGTTGAGAATAAAGTCTGTGGGCTATAAAAGGTGTCTCTTCGCATTGTTTTCTCTGCCGGGCAGCTTTTATCGGGCACTTGTTCTCAAAGATTTCGTGGGTGCGGGTGATATTTTGAACGTAGAACGAACATCTTCGCTCAGAGCAGAAAGAATAAAGTGGTACTTACTTATTTAAAGTCGGAATAGATTACGTGGCCTTCGATTAATTTTGATCGCACATGCACGGGTGTGCATGTATGATCCAGTGGTACTGCGTAGTTCTTGCCGTCTCCCTTAATTTCCAGATGTTTTTTGGTCGTTTGGCACGTATATCCCTCATGCTGAAAAAGCGCCGGCGTCGTGTTCGCGCGAAGTGTGTCCGACAGTGCACATAAATACACGTATTTTTCCGTTCTAGCACCGTTTTTAATGCGATGAATTTGAAAGAAAAACGCCGTAACTGACCAATTATTTCGTCGGCCTGACTGAGAAATGTTCCAAGCTGCTTCGTACGTACGAATTATTCGGGATATTTGCTCTTATGATCGAGCGCAAGGAGAAAATGCGCTCACTTTTTCCCATAAAAATGCGTTACCGGAAGTCAATTTTCGACTGGTTGCTGTCTGCTTCAATTTGCGTCAACACACTAGCGCCACTTGAACCTCCAGCGTACATTATAATAACTCTATGATTTACACTGCATCCTATGACATATTCACTTTGGTGGGGCTTCAAGTGGCTTTATTTTCGTGTCAATTATCAAGCGCTATTTTATTTTTTAGTACAAAGCATCTAGTGACTGTCAGCTTAAGAAATGCAGGGCGTGAAAGTGTCCCGAGAAACCTTGTTACCGCTCTAGTTAGATTGCAGCATTAGCAACTAAGAATTCCATAGCAATGAATGGCGAAGCAAAGACCGTGAGCACAATAAGTCGCGCCTACTTTTTAAACTGACTGTAATAGGAATTATCTCCCGACTCTCGGGATATCCGCCTTACCAAGCAACACTGACTAGCGTCTGCAAGACTTAAAATAGGTCAAACGCGAGTTGAATTTATTACATAACACCAATGAACTATTAAAACGACAGACTAATTTTGGCAGGTGTATAATATATCCAGGTTGCTCTCGGAAACGCTTATAAAGAACAATGTCCTGTTGTTGTAGCTTTCTTTTTTTTCTCGTTTCTCATACAACTCTTAAATACCTTACGTAGCATTATTATAAAAGCTAGCTATTACATAGCAATTGAACGCGGTATAGGATAGGGCACGGGTAAACCACATCACCGTATATCAAGTGCAGTTCAGACACGTCGCACTCAAACTGATAATAGGTTAGACTAAGCCTGGCAACAGCTGCGCTTCGAACACAAGCACCTCATAAGAAACCACTGTACATCATAGTTAAAGATAGCACATGATTCCAATGTTTTTGTAAACACGATGTAGACGCATAGCAAACCTTTTGTGCAAGGTATGTTACGAAAATCTCTTCGCGATTCCAACGGTGTGCATTACTCGAATTCACATTTTCGCCGCCAGGGCGTGGAAGTTTTCGCTGCACATTTCGACAGGCGCGAGGTTCCCGTTTCTGAAAGTCACGTCTTTGCCGCTTTGTGTCATCGTCTCTTCCGGAGCTACGAAGTGTACATAGTTTGAATGAAATATTTTCGAACACGTCCCGGTGAAACACGACGCATCACCAGGTATGCCAATCAAGATGTATAGAGTTATGCATTCACCGATGTAAAATATAAAGCTAAAAATCGGCACATCTTGTAATCAGTACCTTGAAATTACGCTGAACGCGCAAAATATTGTGAAGTATGGACGACCCACGGTCTTCTATGTCTTCAGAGCCATTTGTTCCAATAACATATGCTAGAAAAAACCAGAACAGTCGACACGATGCTGGGTCCAGCAGAACATAAGACGCACATACGTATGTCTAGCCATCCTCTCTAAGAGAGACGTTCCTCAAAATTGACTCCATGCAGTATGAGGCAATCGAAAACCTTTGTTGTTGCTTGGACATCACTAGTTATCGTAGCCATCTTGCGAAATTGTACAAGACGTGTAATTTTTAGTAATTGAAACTAAGCACAAACATTGCCTTTAAAAACTGCGGTGTGAGGTCAGGGAACTCATACATTGCCTTGCCAGCGCACGCAACACGCAGTAAGCCATCGATATTTTATTTATCGATATCAGGCATATTTACCTGTCATTTCTACAATTAACGTGCATCTTTCTGTGCTTGAATGTGAATTGTGTTTTCATAATTTCACGTGCCTAGGTTTGTCTCAATCAAAATATAATTTTTTAACTGCCCCTTTCCATGCGTATCTCTTAGAAATACCTTGAATCGCCCTAGGAGGTGGATACCGTCGAGTTACTTGAGAATAGAAAGTACAATGCTATACTACCTCATCGTTTTTTCCCATGTCACGCTCTTATGGTGGTAATATACTCTTTTCAATACCTCATCAAGCAACATTGGCTTTCGCAATTTCTTAGGCAGGAAGCGTGTGATTGAATCTGATGCGTCACCGAATGCCGGCGCAGCCCTCGTAACCAATACATGCTCACAGACCGTGCCCAAACAAAAGCATACTTGGCTGATTGGCGCAACAGCAGATGAAGTGCACTTTTGAAAAGGGTCTATTGTAACGTTACACGAGTTACAAGCAACTAAGTCGTGCTTTGAGCAAAGCAAACATTACCCAAACAAACAATGCACACGCGCAAGGAAAGTTTCATCCTCACCCCTGACCGGAAGTTTTTCAGCCATTGAGGCTGACTACTACAAAAGATTTGCATAAGTTTATGTAATTTTAAAAGTATGATATGCTTATTCAACAAATTGTATGATAATTATTTTCTTTTTCTTTTCTTTTCAAAACTGTAGTCTACGGGTTAGAGCCCCTGCCGGAGTGCCGGAAGTGAAAAAGACTCCCAAGATGATTGAACATTTTCATCCGTCTTTAGTTGGAGAGCAAAAAGGCTATTTGATTAGACATATAAACTTCCAAAGTTAGAATCCTGCATTCATTCTTTGCGTAGTTTGTGTGAGTGTACCGATGCAATTTATGATTACCGCATTAGCCAACTGAAGTATTTAAATTACAGCACAATATCGTCCATCATCAATTCCCAAGCCGCTGTGCTGTATACTGACGTTGTGTCGCAGTATATTACGCTTACTGAACTTCAATCCACGAGGGTGACGAGATGCCTCGGTATGAAGCTTTCTTGCACAAATCAATCTGGGTGTCACTCCTTTGACAATGACTAGCTCCTGTTATTTTCTTTGTACAAATAGCTTTTGCAGCCGGCACTGTCATGACACTTTACAGTGCTGCTATACCTTACATGGGCTCTGCCACCAGGGTAAGTTACATTTTTACTGGAACTAGAAATGTACACAGAACGATAAAATATTAAATCCTCTATTTACAAAGAAAAAGCATTTTCATTCAATTTTTTTTTCAGTTAAACAGTTTCTGTACTATGGAATTTGAAGACTTTAAGAATTGATCGAGGAATATTTTCTGTTAGTCGCAGACTACTACCATATATGTAGAGCCAATTTGTGTGTGTTTTTTTTTTTTTAAAGTAGAAAATGAATACACAATTGATGCACTTGAGATATACGCGTCTCGATAACGAAATAGAATATTAGGTACTTGAAAAGAGGAAATAAAAATATAGCTTGAAAAAGAAATGCGTTACTAAACCTCGGGCTTTTCGAATTTTGAGAACGCTACGATGTCGTTCAGATTTCCCATTGTTGACATTGCAAGTGAATGTAGGCGAACTCATTCAAAGTGAAAAGCGACGTTTTGATTCATAAAAAAAAAAAAAATGATATCTCACTGGATGAACTTAAATCGACTGTGTCTTACTACTTCGCATTAAAATATTGTGTTTAAGGTCATTAGTTAACGATTACCAAATTTACCACTTGTAATTTTAAATATGCAGCTACCTTTAACACAATAAATATTTGCTATAACAATAAAAAAATTTTAATGAGATACTTTTGAGAACACTCACCAGTTATTTTTTTATGAATATAAAGAAAACGGCGATTAATCTTGCATACTGCGTCATTGTTTCACCGAGAATGCGCATTCGTGGCGCTACACACCTTTTCTCAGCTGCCGCCTCTAAAAACAGAACTATTAATATATGATGCTGACATTCTCGTGATTGTCAATTTCACACTAAACCACCTCGTCCACATTATATAAGCAATGCAGCGCTGATACTAACATCGAGTAAGATTTAAAGGCGCCCAACCGCATAGAGACACTTGGGTTTATAGTGTTGTGGAAGACTCATATAATTTTATAAGGTGACGACATATTTTATGAACATCTGCACCCTTTTTTATATAAATGCTTCGTGAGACTTTGTAAGTCCATTTACGTTGACGGCAATAAAAAAAATAAGAGGGTCCTTTTTATATACCACATGGAATCACCGCTAAAAGAAACAGTTCTGAAGTCTTAACATACAAGACCAATGTTCATACAAAAACGCGACTGGAAAATTGTCAAGTTCATAGAGCTGAGACGTTTCGCCTTCCGGCATTTCTCTAAAAGCGAGCCTCTTTTTACAATTACTGATCAATAATTTTATCTGCACTTAAAATATGTTATGCACTGATAGTTTTGCAATGTCTACAGCTGGGACAATAAAGATATTCTTTTTAATTTATCCTTCACAAGTGCGTGCCTAAAAACAATTTGGTTGTGTGTGTGTTTATACAGCCTAGAACTTGGTCTGCCTCAACGGGCGACGAGCGTCCCAGCTGTAGATGAGAAATTTAGCCAGTGCAGTACAACCGCTAGCCTGGGGTCTTTAACGTGCATCACGCAGTATCGATACACGACCGCACGCCGGTACGATGCTCATCCAGATTGAAACGGGCAGAGGTGGGGATTGAGCCCAGGCTCTCGGGTTCTGCAGCGCGAGCTTTCGCTCCACGTGCTCCGAGCTGGTGTGCGATAGATCACTCGGCCACCGATCCCCCAAGTACATGCCTGGATAATCAGTATCCTTGTGCTCCATGCTACTCTTCTCTATTCAACAGCGTGATCTTCAAGAACAGCTTGCTTTCTTTTTGAAAATTCTAGAGGCTATAGTTAAATAATTGCCCCAATAGTTAGCTCTCGTATCGTTTCTTATAAACCCATTATGCATTCTCAGATATATATGATGGTGAACAACGCCGTTACTGGGCCTTTTGTCGGTCTCTTTCTGATGGCGCTCATTTTTCCATGCGTCAATAGTAAGGTAAGTCGTTACAGGCATAAGCTTAGCTAGCTGGCCTTACCTGAAGTTAGTGGTAAAACGCATATCGATCACGCCATTTATCTTTGACATCTAAACTTTTTCGTGAAAGTAAAAAGACAAGAATAAACGATCGATTGAATCTGGAAACCCAAGCGTTACAATTGGTAGTTCAATGAAAGGACTCTTAATCTTATGTGAAAACCAGACAAGCTATTATATATATTTGAAGGACTTGCCAAGTTTAACGAGCCCGTTAATATGGGTAACGATTCGCCCACGAGCTTTACAAGCTTTATTACCGCAAGAATTTAAATTTAAAACAGTGCCACTACTCATTCATGTACACGAATTTCTGCTTTTTGTGTTGTTTTTTGTAATCGTCACTGATGCATTTTCTTTGTTTTTTTACTAATTAAGCGTTCATTAAATTGTCCTGCGTATATTCTTAAAGTCAATGGGAAATTTGATCAATCATGGCATTTCTGGAATTTAGAAACTGGAGGACGTCGTAATTTAAAATACTCGCCTTATTTCTAATTAAGTACAAATTCAAATTCTAGGGTGCCGGGGCCGCAACAGTGCTGGCGATCGCCTTCCAATTCTGGCTCATGCACAATAAATTTCTCCTGGACGTACGGCCTCAACGGATTCCGGTTACACTAGACAACTGCCCAGGAAACCAGACTACATTCCTAACGAAAACTAGCAATGCAACTTTCGTTCCAACGCCAAATGTGTAAGACTCGCGATAAACACATGCGTATACATCTGGGGGATAGACGTTGCGTGGTGTCAAGAAATGTTTTGCTGTAATAACTGAGGCAGAACAGATTAACCTAAATATTATATTCAAATATCTCTAGTGTTAAAATTATTGTAAAGGTAGTCATACAGGTTAAATAAATGTCCAAATAAAACAGCTCCTGCTAACCAGCTTGAGAAACAACGCCCTTTAAGCCTATCAGCAACAGAACGAGGTAGAGGGGCTTAAAGGGATAAACTGGTATCCCGTTCACCATGCAAAACTGACTTCCCCTCCCCCCTCCTTGGCTGCCGCCATGTTGTACACTTTCGACCACTAGACGCGTGACCGTATCAAGTCCTGAGGCTTTTACGCAAAACTGAGCCGAGATTTGTATCGCGATCATCGTAAAAAACGTGATCAACCATTTTTCAATACTACACTCTAAAAAAAGTCCGTGCGTCTACTTTCCAGCACAACACTCGGAGAGCCAATCAGCGCAACTTACGGAGGCAGCTCAGCAAATGACGATGCCGAAAGATATGTTTAGACCAAAAAACGCAGTTTGAGTTGTGGCATTAAGCAATGCAAAACGTCACGCTTGCATTGCTTAATGTCACAACTCAGACTGCGTTTTTCGTTCTAAACATATGTTTCGGCATTGTCATTCGCTGAGCTGCCCCCGTAAGTTGGGCCGATATAGACACAGATCTCTGGGGCTATAGTACACTAAAAAAAAAGCCCATGCGACCACTTTCCCACACAACACTCGGAGAGCCAATCAGCTTAACTTACGGGGGCAGCTCAGCGAATGACGATGCCCAAACATAGGTTTAGACAAAAAAACGCAGTCTGAGTTGTTACATTAAGAAATGCAAAACTAACGCTTGCATTGCTTAATGTCACAACTCAGTCTGCGTTTTTTGTCTAAACAGATGTTTCGGCATCGTCATTCGCTGAGCTGCCTCCGTAAGTTGCGCTGATTGGTTCTCCGAGTGATGTGCGTGAAAGTAGATGCACACCCTTTTCTAGAGCGTAACTCCGATAAATATCCAAAATACAACACCGCGACTTACGGCATCTAGCGGGGCCATGACGAACCTGCCCGAGTGTTTGTCGTAAAATCACATTTTAGACTTAAACGAAGCATGACTTATCTCGTTGGTACTCTTATTAAAGGTCTATAAGCATTTTTCTGTGCGCGGTTCTTTGTTAAAATCTAGACGTAAAACTAGGAGGTTAAATGTCTAGTTGTCAGAAACGTGTAACATGGCGGCGGCCAGGTGGGGGTCACTTTCAGCTGCCAGTACATCGCTCTAAGCCCCTCTACCTCGTTGGAGCAACAGCATTCTTCGCTAATAGTTTTAGGCGTGTTTTCAAGTTCCAGTCTTGAATAAGTTTGTGTTTGGTGTGCTCTGTGTTTAACATCTTTATTTGGCCATGCTAGTTATCAAAATATAGGCAGTATACTCTCTAAAAAAAGTCTGTGCGTATACTTTCACGCACAGCACTCGGAGAGCCAATCACGGCAACTCATTCCACAAAACTTTTTACAGTTCGAATTTACTATCTGTTCTTGAATTTGTCATTGGAACTTGTTTGGTTCTTCAATTTGTTATTGGAACCATACCAACGCACCTATAAGTCAAAATCTAAAAGAAATAATAATCAATCAATCAATCAATCAATCAATCAATCAATCAATCAATGTTTTTATTCGTGCCCAGGAACAACCTTGCGGTCTTGGTACAGGTGCACTGTGTTAACATGTAAGGCAGAACAGGGCATAAAGCAATAGTACGGACAACACACACAACGGACAAGCCCTAGAAAAATACACTTAAAAATTATAAAAAGTAAACACAAAGTCACAACACACGATAAGCTTAATGGTACTACCGCCACCACCAATTGCTAGAAAGAAAGAAAAAAAAATGCATTCAAAGTGGGGAATTTCGGCGTGAACGCCGCAAGTTAGTGCATACAGTTCAAATTTAAGTGATGGCCTTTAACGTTTTTACAAACTGCAGCGTGTTATTGTTAAATATGTCAAGTGTTTCAGAAAAAGAAGAATTATAAGTATGCCCAAGTCTGGACACAGGATCGTGGAGGTTGAGTAGACGCCTGTTGCAGAAGGACGCATTTTGCCTTGTTGTTTTTAGAGGAATTTTTAAGAGTACTCTTGACGTCAATACCGTGCAATCAGTGACGGCGTGGACAAGTTTGTATAAAAATAAGATATCGGCAAGTTCTCTCCTACGAATTAGGGTAGGTAGTGTTAATAATAATAATAATAATAATAATAATAATAATAATAATAATAATAATAAATCTTTATTCTCAAATTGCCCAGTACCAAGTTCAGTTTCGGGCCCGATCAAAGCCATCAGGGGCTTGTAGGATCAGACCCAGCAGTTTAATTGACAAAAGTATCACAGGCACGGCGACGACGAACACACAACCAACACACAGACAATATGTTAAGCCTCACAGGGCCCAGGAGTCACACAGGCACGACGAGGACGAGAACACAACACACACTCAGTTGGATCAACATTGTAGATCCTTCGAGTCGCACAGGCACGACAACGACGAGCACACGCCAACAATCACTCAGTTGGTAGAACCACGGAGGGCCTTGGAGAGCAGTGCGAGGTCACGTGGCACGATAAGTCGTAGAATGAGGTGGAAGAGAAAAAGGAAACAAAGCAAACGCAGACGAGCACACATGCGGCATCTTGGGCGACTGAATTCGGTATGATCGTAAATGTAAAAAAAAAAAGACAAATTTAAGCATAATTGAACACTTGATGCTGCAGGGAGGGCACCGAAAGGTAGGGCGGGTAGCATAAGCAGAAGATGCAGGTCGCTAATGTAGAAAGCAGGAGCATTCGCTCAAAGGCACAATCACATACCTAAAAAAACCATTGCCCAGGTTACTGTCTCGTAATGTCAGAAAATACATTTTGCAGCTTCCTTTTCAATTGCTTGTTAGAAGTGATGGAACTGAGCGAGTGCGAGAAGTCATTAAAAAGGCTAGGTACATAATGTTTGCGCAGACTCTCACCATATCGAGTCCGTACCGAAGGAATTTGATAAGGAACAAAACATCGGAGTTCACGACATGGATTGGATGGAATTTTGAACTCGCTTTCCCAAAAGTGCCGCCTGATAACTGTTTGAACAAAGAGCGAGTAAAAGGATGACAACTGAAGAGACTCAAAAAGATTATCAGTACTAGAGTATTGCGTGTGATAGGCAACGCTTTTGAGAATACCCTTTAAAATCCGATCGATTCTTGAATGCCATTGGAGGGAGCAATTAAAAAATACGGTGATGCCGTACCTCAGTACGCTGTACGCTAAGGCGTGTATTATGTTTTTTTTAACGGATAACGGTAAAATCCCTTTAATGTTGTACATGAAACAACAGACTGTTCGAAGATGTTGACATAAATGAGACATATGAGTACCCCACGCTAAATCACAATCAAAGTGAACACCTAAGTATTTCATAGAGTCAACATATTGTATTGGAGTACAATCGGTACATGTGCAGTTAGATGTATGAAGATATATGGGGAAAGTCAAATTCACATTTTTTAATGGATTACTAAAACATATCAGTTTCGTTTTTGCAGTATTAACTCGAAGCTTGTTTGTAGAGAACCAGTCCATAAGGTTAACAGCGTCCACCTGAAGCATTTCCATTGCCCGCTGGTAATCTAGGTGCCGAGAGAATAAGACGGTGTCGTCTGCATCCTGATGTATGAAGCAAGTGGTAACAACAGATGAGGTGTCATTTACGTATATGTTGAACAATAAAGGCGACAGGATAGACCCCTGTGGAACACCAGATGTTAAGCATGCCAGAGCACTACGAATGTTGTCAACACAAACAACCTGGGTACGATTTGATAAGAAGCCCTTAATCAAAGAATAAAATGGCCCCCGGAAGCCGATTCTTTGTAACTTGCTTAAAAGAACGTCGTGATTTACGGTGTCAAAAGCTTTGGCGACATCAATGAAAAGTGCACAAGTAAACATGTTGTTTTCAAAAGAGTGGTGCAAAAAATCAGAAAATTTCTCAAGGAGACAAGAAGTACCACGTCCTGCGACAAATCCGTATTGATGGGGATATATTATATTGTGTTTTTCGAGAAAACCAGACATAGCAAGTAATAAATGTTTTTCCAAGATTTGCGAAATGCAAGAAAGTATTGAGATGGGTCGGTACGAGGAAACTTTGTCAGGTGAACCCCCTTTAAACAGGGGAACTACTAAAGCTTGTTTTAATTCACCAGGGATATTTCCACTCTCCAGGATGCTATTAATTATTACTAGGAGAACGTCCTTTAAGGTGTCATAGTTACGACATAAATCGTTCACAGTAATACCGTCAACACCCGCAGATCTGAAGCGCTTAAATCCGAAAATATATGATCGCAGTTCAAATTCAGAAAGAAGAGGAAGAAACGCCGATTCTGAGACAGACGGAATGGCGGGTGTTGAAATCACTGCAGTAGATGAGCTAAGAGTGGAACAAGCAAAAAAAACTATTGAGCGCGTTGACAGTCAGATTCATATCAAATCCGAAATGTTTTCTAAGCGTCAGAGAGACATTTTTTTTTGTAGAGCCTCTAAGCTCGTTGACTACCGACCACGTGAGTCTCGGGTTGGAACGGGCGTTCGAGATCTTATTTGCAAAATATATTCGCTTTGCAGACCGAAGGAGAGCGTTTACACGGTTTCTATAAATTTTGCATTCCAGTTTGAGAGCTGCGTTCGTAGGGGAGCGTCGGCTCCTTTTCCACAGTTTCTCTTTATGATCGATAGCATCAAGAATTTCTGAAGTCAACCAGGGAAGTTTTGGTTTTCGCTTTTTTATACGAACTACAGTTTTGACATCATCTGAAAACGTTTTATAATTTCAATGAATTTTGGGTACAAGCTCATCGTGTCCACCGAGGACATGAATTCCGACCAGTCAAAAGCTTTGATCAGCCGATCAAACCTGTTTATATCAAGTTTCTCTACTTGACATATTGATTGAATCTCTTTATGGTGCTTGGAAAAGAAAGTATATCGACAGGTGACAAAGTAGTGATCAGCTAGCTTTTGTGAAATAACAGAGGACTGAACGGAAGCATCAGATGTTCGAACGTTGACATGGTCTAGGCATGATGAAACCAATTTCTGATTGAGCACTTCCTCTCTGGTGGAACTTTGAATGGTGGAATGTATCCCATTCTCCGAAAGTAGCGAGAGGTAGTCGCAGACGACCGGCTTGGAATTCTTGAGAGTATCAATGTTTACATCACCCACCATACATAAATGACTTTCAGTAGTTAGTGTTTTTAAGTTTTCTTTTAACTCCTCTAAAAAGGTAGTACAGTTAGAGGAGGGAGGTCTATACAGAGTTATCAGATAAATTGAATGGATTGCGTTAAACACCCTTAGAGCTATGCTTTCTGACGACGTGAACTGCATTTCTACTTCTTCGACTGTCCAAAACTCTTTCACATATATAGCTATTCCACCTCCTCGAGCATTCTGGCGGGTATAAAAATAGTTTTGAAATCCCGGTAATTTGAATAGCGAAAAATGATGTACACCCGTATTGATTTCTGTTAGCACCAAGGCATCTATCCGGTCGTGAACTTTATCAACAATAATCTTCAATTCGTTCCAGTATTTGCGAATGCTTCGAATGTTTACATGTGCAACGGTGAAGCTATTGGAGCAAGAGGCATCGAATGAGGCATTAAAAGCATGGAAATTAGTGAACTCAGAAAAACTGACTGAAGCCATTATTTAATCAGATCCAGGTCACCTCGTTGCAGAATTCTTATCGGAGGAGCTCCCTCTTCTTTTTTTGCATAAATTCGTGAGTGTTTAACCCAAACGAATTTGTAACCGCATTCTTTTCCCCGAGAACGAGCGAGAATAATAATAATAATAATAATAATAATAATAATAATAATAATAATAATAATAATAATAATAATAATAATAATAATAATAATAGTAATGTTTATTTACTCGTGCAGGTCACTTGATAGTGAGGCGGGTGTGTCAAAGCCAGACAAAAGGCTTGTTGGTCAAGACCCTACAGTTGGTGATAGAAAAGCGTCCCCACACACGTAAAGTTCCAAGCTCAACATACATCACAATATAAACGGTGATGGTCACGCAAACACATGCACATACACACCACAGTCAAAGAGTTGCACTATTACATCGAAGCACTTGCGTCATTTTTTTTTAGCGAGTCCACAGTGAACATCGTCCGGTAGGCTATTAAATATATAGGGAACATAAAAATTCCGAATTATTTTTTCCGTATTTTGTCACTGCAAAAGGCATTTCATAGCACTCGGTGTGCCGCAGCGATCTAGACATGACATGGAGTACTTTGAAATTATCACACCAGAAGTGTTTCAATAAACGGTCTGAACCAACGAAGAGTGGAACATTGACAAGCCCAAGACTGTTACGATCTCTTCTTTAGTTTGCGATATGGAACCATAAACAATGCTTTTAAATTTTCCTCTTAAGACTGAGTCAATTTTTTGACTTCATCGTCCTGGGCTGTGACCAAAAATAGTCATTCCGTAACGCAGAACACTGTATGCCAAAGCGCGAGCTATTGTCTTTTTCGTTGAATAAGGTATTAAAGATCTGGTATCATACAGTAAACAAGATACATTTCTCAGTCGTTTACAAAGTGTTGACAGATGGGAATTCCACGACAAATCACTTTCAAATTAAATTCCTCAATATTTAATTTGATCTACATAAGATATGGGACAACAGTTACAAGATGTACAAAGAGAGGTATGCATATATATAGGATGAATGGGATTTAACATCTTAAGAGGATTACGAAGGCAGACGAGCTGCGTATTAGACGTATTTATCGTAAGACAATTATGAATTTGACAAGTGTCCTTTTGGAGTAAAGCAGTTGCTACAGGATAATCAAGATGTTCCGAAAGCAACACTGTGCCATCCGGATGTTGGAACTATTTACATGTAGAAACTGAGTTGGAAATATCGTTTACAAAATACTATTAGTAATAATAATAATAATAATAATATTAATAATAATACATTTTACTAAGCAGATCACCATTCCAGATATACAAATAATAAAGCGGGTCCGTCAAAGCCAGAAGCGGCTTGTGGGACTGAACGCGGTATCAACGTAAAATGGGACACATTGATTTGACAATTTGTTAGCAGGAAAAGCAAAACCAAAGATAAATGACAAAAAAAAAAAAGAAATTCCCACACACATCAGGACAAAAACGACAGAAACATGTACTGATAGACAAAATAAAAGCAACAAGCAGATGCTCTGACACAGAAAGGTACCTACTACAGAAGCTTGTGCTAATACAATAATTTTCCTTCATGCGCTAGGAGCAAAAAAAAAAAAAAAGAAAAAAAGACCGCAAACTACAGTACACACAGGTCGTATGTAGATAAAAAGAGATACATGTTGCAAACAAAATGCAGATTCACTTTTGACACATATACAACGAAACACAAAAAGAAGGAGATGGCACATTAGGTATTACAATTGCAAACAAACCAAGGCAATATTAGAAACTCTAGCATATTGTTTTAGTTGCCGTTTTAACTGGCGCATTGAATTTAGATTCGGGAATGATTCTGGTAGACTGTTGTAAAAACGAGGGACATAAATAGAGCGCAGACGTTTTTCGTACTTTGTGTAAACGCGAGGAATAACAAAACGTTCACTTTCCCGCCAAGTACGCTGCACGACACGGGGAGTACTGAAGGAACTTTGCCATTAGTGTTTGCAAATAACCCACCTTTGCAAAAGGGCAGAAATGCGCGGGAGACACAAAGCAGAAAACAGTTGTTCACTTGACAGATGTAAAGATGTATAATCCACGCCTCTTAAAATACTTTTTAAGATGATGTCTTTTTTTTTGTACCAAGGCATGGAACAATTCGCATAAATAGTAATCCCATCACGTAATAATCCGTACGCTAAGGCTTTCACAACCATCTTTCGAACCGACAATGGAAGAAAAAAAAACAACATCTTCGTAGAATATAACATGCAGGATACGCTTCGCAGTTTTCCGGCAACGTGACAGAAATGCGAATTCCAGGATGAATCACTGTCAAAAAGAATTCCTAAGTACTTGGTTGTGCTAACATATTCAAGAGGTGAAGAAGCAATTAAGGCGTAAGGCGCACACTTCGACGAATGTGACACGAAAGCTACCAAAGCACATAAGTTTGGTTTTCTGAACATTAATATTGATAGGATTTTGTTGGCAATCAGGTCAGCTGAACACGGAAAAAACAAGAACACGAAGGAAAGGACTGGACGTTCACACCGCTGATTAACAACTGACTTTTACTTCTTCGTCATCCCAGCCTAGGTCTTTTCTTCATCGTCCTACGGTTCATTAAACACGTTTAAAAACAACTTTTTAGCCTACCACTCAACGGTTTAACCAGTTTATAGCTTGATTCGAGTTAGCTTGCAATCATGTAACTGCGCTTCTCAAATTTAAATGCTTTGACACTAAGAAAGTATCGTCAGCGTACTGATAGATATCACATCCTGATAAGTCTTGCCGAGATCACTCACCTAGATATTAAATAACAGCGGTGATAAAACTAGGCCCTGCGGTACACCAGCCTTCAAAAATACTTTGTCGCTCAGCCTATTACAGAGTGAAACTTGCTGAGTACGGTTCGTTAGAATGATTTGAAGTATAGAAATAAATGTTCCCCTGAAACCGTAGTCAAACAGTTTCTTCAGGAGTATTTTATGACTGAAGAAAGAAAGTGCAGGGGCACTTGTTCTTATCAAAAGTGGCATGTAAATTGTCTATAAGGTCTTCGAGTAAGAAATAGGTGCCATGGCCCGGCGATAAAGCCGCGCTGGGAAGGCACGAACACATTAAACGCTCCTAGAAACGCTGTCATTGTTTTTAAAATCTGGGTTTCAAACACTATAGGGCTAAACATGGGAGAATTGGGATGGGCCGATAACTTTCTACGCTAACGATCAATTGTGTTATAATTGCACATGATGAAGCGGCATCTTCACTAGGGCTGGGCACTAGCTCGATTAAGCTACCGATTAATTGATTATTGTATTTATAGCGATTAAATTTTGACCGGTTAATAGGTTAAATTTTGACAAACAAAACAGTACAAATTTAACGCTGTAACTATGCAGACGTGGACGAGTACGCCTGTGTGAAGGCAAACGTTAGGTGATATTTTAACTGTAGGGACGAAATTTGTAACTCCAAAGAAGTGGAGAAGGTTATACGTGTCCCAACCACTTCTACGCCGTGCGAGTTTTCGTTTGGCGCAGCACAGTCTATTGTGAACAATCAAAGGAGTTCGCATTGCCGAAGAACACCAACGAACCTCTTTGCCTGAGCGGCTGAAGTAATAATTTGTGAGTGTCAGTGTCGTTTGACTGTTCTCAACTACACATTAAGGTTAACTTAAAATCTGAAACTGTACATTGCGCCTTTTATTACCTATTCATCAAAGGTAACGAATGTAATTTAGACTTTAAAAAAAACTATCATGCATGGGTGTGAACGAAACCGATTAATCGATTAATTAATTGATTAACGAGTGGCGATGGATGGGGTTAAAATTTTAATCGACACCCAACCCTTCTTAACTCTCTCAGGGGAATAACAATTTATGAATATGTTCAACAGTCCGCAGGATCTCTTCATCCTTTTGAGGTTGTCATCATACTGGAGTAACTCAATCAGCACTATTATTACCATTTTATTGGGACTGGCAATCAGCGCCGGAACAGGTAAATAGTATTCCGACGAGTGAGCTAAGGCAACGCGTGTGCGTTTTACTTCATACGTTTAGGAATCAAAGCATGCACGGAGATGGTATAAAGTTTTTTTTTTTGTGTGTTTGATATTCGCTTACCAACAATTAAGTATTTTCTTACAACTAACACTTATTTCGTGAAGCCAAAAAACATTTTGCTGCGCCTTTTTTTCTAGACTCTTCTTTGACATAGCTAAAATAAAAAGTAATAAATATAATCTTTGTCTATTCTCGATCATCAGTCACACCTCAGTGAAAATTGACACGAGGCATCATTATTACGAAATGCTTAAATTACGTTCAGAAGACGCCGCAGCATGGCACTGTGTATGTTCTGCATCAGACTGCTTTGATATTTAAAAAAAAAGGTTAATTTAAAATTGTTCTGCTAATTAATTACATAACCATGATTAGTTTACGTGAACACCGTTGGTATAATTAACAATTTCATCTAGTTTTTTTTTAGAAATAAAGTGAGACTGAGCCGAATGCGGTGTTTTAAAGCAATTTTGTATATATTTCGAAGGCGTTTCGAAGGTTCCTTCAGATTGTATTGTATTGATCTTATAATTCCGATGTTCTCGTTTTTTCATTATGTCGATTAGGTGGGTTAAAAGGTTCCTCGAAGCTGGAGCACTTGACTAGTGATGTTTTTTTGCACCTGTGGCGACGGATCAAATGTATGTCACCGGCAGATGTCCCAGTGGTATGTGGTAACATCCTCTTCAATAAAACGAACACATTCCTAAAGCGTTGTAACCTTTCAAGGGACAAAAATAAGACCTTATGAAGCATTTATTCAATAAAGCAAACGCTCTATAACTCATGAAAGTTTAATAATCAGTGTTGTACACTATCTTAGCTGTGCTATCTTCGCATATGGTGCAGGTAAATAAATATGTGTAGGTGTAAACTGAGCAGTTAAAATATAATTTTGTGTTGCACATAGAAATACAAATTACAGAACTGTACATATAGTGATGCAAGTTTAACAGGAGTTAAAAATAATAAAAAAGACGCTTGAGATAAATAAATGATTCCCTTATGATAATAATTCCCTCAGGATAATTACCAAGTTAATTGCCTCAAATCCACGAATTGCTTTTTGAAATATTCGCCTTTGTCGGCACATTCCAGCGGGGGGTGTGCCACGCCAGGAAAACAAAAAAGAAGTGCGCAAATTATTATATTTTCTACACTGCTTGCTTGACTTGCAAAGATTGAATTTGTTGTCCCCACTGTATAAAACAGAAAAATATGAATGTTGATTTTGGCATAACCTTCATTTGTCGTTTTAACTATTAAGTAGCATACCGGGAAGTCCAAAAGTGTGTTTAGTTTGATTAGCTCAAACAACCGGCGGAATTTCTTTACAATGCGTCATCTGTCCCCTTTTGCATTTCAGCACATTTCGTCAGATGGTCATCTGCGCAACGAGGACTTGACTGGCTACAACCCTGAAGAAGCATTGAAGCTGACAAACGAAACGAACGTTTAAATAAAATCGGATGATAGGTTTGGAAATCACTACTAAATACTGTCGAAAAGTCATACACGCATTTAATCAAAATTTAAGGCGACGAATATGACTTTGCTGTAGAGAATTACCTCCGCAGAGCCAAACTATCCAACGCGATCAGACCGTAGGGGGCAACTTTTTCTTCTCATAAAGTGCGAAATCATGTGACATAGATAATAATAACTTTCATTCTAGCACGATAATAAGTACATCAAATATGCATCTTACTTTTAAAAATCGTTGCTTGGCATTCGGCGTGCTTAAATTTAATTCGAACATAAAAAAGAGACCGGGTCAGGGGGAGGGGGCGGTTGCAAGGGTACTGAATTCTTAATGTATTTATTAGCTTCGGCAGAGTCATGGGTTATTTAGAACGTTTAGCATTGCCAGCAGTTACGATTACGGGCTTAATCAATTAAAACAATATTAGTAATGCCAACGGGCTTCGAGATTTTGATCGGTCAGTTTTCGCATTTTTTTTCGCCTGATTCTGAAATAGTCTTATTTTATAAATCCCAAACACCTACCCCCGCGTTTTCTCCGTCGTCTCTGTCGCCTGCTACAACAGGTTCTATACCAAGTCTTCCCCGTTACCACTCTCGGGTGATAGAAGAGAAATAGAAGCTAATACCAAAGACACAAAAGGTCTCCCCAAAAGGGGATGAAGACGAGGTGTATTTAAAAAGGCTGTGTTTTTTTTTTTGTGTGTGCGTTTTTTTACGCTTGCCCTGTTCTATCAGTATACTATATATTATCCTCCGGTTTGGACAATACGAACTCCAGACATCGTTCGGAAGTTGACCACGAATCTCGACAGTGTAGTCTGCCCCACTGGGTTTTTTTCCTGGTCCAAGAGAACCGACATTGCCATGTCTACCGGCCCATCTTGGCTGCATTTGGATCAACGCGCTTCCACCGATCACCGCAGCCTGCCTTCTTCCAACTGTGGCAGTTCAATCGCCGAATCAAAAGACTCAGCCGTGATCCTTAGCGAGGACATCACTCCAGGTCAGCATCGCGCCACAACATCGTCGCGGCGGGCCGTTAAGCCATCCAGTGACATGGAACTTTCTGATCTTGACGGAAGAGAGGGAATCAACCACCAAGCCAAGAAAAAGCGAAAGAAAAATAGCCCCAATTCTAGTCTTTGCGCTGAAACAATTTGTTGCGGCACAGTAATGACTGAAGGACTTACTGCCATATTCGAACAGGCCGAGCAGAACACAATACTTACATCGCTAAGCAGCCTAAAGGTGTCCCTATCCCTGGAGAATGTTTGCCCGAAATGAATCCCTGAGATAGCATATAACAGCCGTTTCAATCTGACTGCCATCGACACAAGAAATGGCCAGAAAACGCGAGCACTTCTAGGCTGCAGCAAAATGGGCTGAGCTCCTAGGCTTAACTGCGCTCTGTGGAGTCTAAGTTTACGAACTCCTTCATAGACATTACGTATTCAGGACGTCGGAATTAGAGCACATCCAGGACGTCGAACTCTAATTTGAAAAAGCACATTATGGTGAATTATTCTTAATGCCACTCAGACTTGCGCACGTTACCGAAAAATAGTAAGGAATTACACTTACAATTACTCAAGGCTAAATTGTAATTTATTACAATTACAATTACCCTCCCATAAAAGTAACTGACCGTTACCCCAAAAAGTAATCCGTTACTTTCGTGGCGTTACTTTTAACATTATTGTCCTCAAGTAAGAAACAAAGGGAAGAGGGTTATTCAAGTTCTTATTGTTGCAACGTGTTCCATTTAATGACCTTGAGTATTTTGAGTAACAGCTAGCTCTCGAAAGTCTCGTCAAACATCTAGCGATATTTCTTACTCAATATGTTGACTGCTACGCTGAACACCATTTGAGCTGAGGCACTGGATGGGGGTGCCAAATTGTTCCTCACGATTGATTCATTTTCTGCATTGAGCTTTTTCAGCGAAGCAGGGGAAGCACTATTTATCTCGAAGATAGAACAAAGCTTCGTCGTTGCAGCCGTTGCCTGATATTCGAGAGATTTAGTAGATCCTTCCGATACCTCCGATACCCGCGATAACGATATGATGGCTGCGCAAAGACGGCGGCGAAGTATCGGATATCGTTATCGGAGTCATCGGACCGAGCTACTAAAGTTCTCCATTCTCTAAATCGTGAAGCTGTGGAAGTCATCAATAGAAAAAAATAGTTGTAACAGTAAGGTGATGTATAAATAATAAATAAGGTTTGGCTCGATATTCTTCTTCCTTTGGTTCTGAACAGTTCGAGCCCCACTTGAGACGTTGGTAAATAAAGAAGTTTCCTGTATATAAATATAAGTAATAGAAGAAAAAGAACACGCATAACAACAATTAATTAGAACGTCGGTTAAAACAAGGAAATGTATACGCACGTTTGCCGTGTGTACCTTTCTTGGTGCCGTTCAAAAACGCACGGAGCACGAACGGACTGCAGTTTACCTCGAGCTTCTCGAAGAGGCATACAATCACTTGGTGTCCTCCTCTCCCCGTCTTCGATCGCAAAGAAAAAACAAAGGCACTAAAAAAAAGCGGAAATAACTTGCCCCCCCCCCCCCCTTTTTTTTGTATAACTGTTCATTTGGATTTTTTTTACATTGTTGTTAGGGTCTAAAAAAAAAAAAAGATTCAGAAGCTTGGTGTTGCAAAAAAAAAAAAAAAAGGCTTTGCGGAACTGAAGAACGCCAAGCCTCCCTTTGCGTTTGTCAATTCGTGTGACAGCATCACTGCGCTCGACTTTACAAAAAAAAAATAAAAAAAACTTTATTTAGAAGGGGCGCGTGGGGGGGGGGGGGGGTTGGTTCTGACAAAAAAAATGTAACGGATTACATGGAATCCGTTACCTCAAAAATGTAAGGGATTTACTTTAAAATTACTCTAGAAAATATGTAATTATTCCGTTACTAAATTACTGATAAATGTAAGAGATTGCAAGTAATTTCGTTACTTGTAACGGATTACGTACAAGTCTCAACTTACTTCCTTTTATCCGTTAAATTATCGTGGTAAGGTTTGGTTAGCCAAATGAACGTAACTTTCTTTCGAGATCGTTTTGTTAGTCTCATACTTCTTCAGCTACATCTTACAATGCTCATTAACGTAAGCTAGCGAAAACTCTTTGAAAACGGCTTAATTTAGTTTACTTGTATATTTCAGAAGGATGGTCAATCTATCATAGCAGTTATATATAAACACGTCTATTTGGTATTTGTTTAAGTTTGCGATTTATTTAGACATTTTTTTCTATACTAATTCGTGATGTAGTCAGTTTATTTAGTTAATATTTCGTTGTACCACACCCTTGATAACAAGAAATTAACAGGGGTGCTTCCCATCATTCCTAATTGTTTTATTTTCCGCCAGTCCCTCATTTCGCTGAAGCTATCAGAGTTCGGGTAGCTTTCATAGGAAACGAAAGACCGAGACTACAACCCATTATCCTGACGCGCCCTTGCTAAAGCAGATGAAGATCGACCGTACGCATCAAGTTCCCGCTTCTCAAGAACGGTTCGAAAAGTTTGTGGAGACGTTTTGTGTTTGAGACGCTACAATCATATACTAACAGTCATATAGTAACAGCGGCTATATCGCCGCCCGCAGGGCCGAGAAAGCAACACTCGGTCACGGATATTAGAAGATTCACGTTCATTCTCTCATCAGACGTAACTTTCTCCCTGCTTTCTTGTTCTCGCAAGTGCCGGTTCATCCTCGCCCCAAGCGCGCGACGCTCGAACCTTCTTTGCCGAACTTTCGCGATAGTGACGCACTGTCGATAAGCAGCTGCCCGCGACCTTGTCAAGTCAGTGTGCTTTCGCTTCCTTACGCCGCCCAAATCGCCGCCCGCTTTTCTGCTGTCTCGACGCGCGTTCTTTATTTTGTTTTACACAAGTTCGCCCATTAAACCTTTTATTTTCAGCTCATCGTTCACCTGTCGTCGCCTTAATTTGTGACAATATACTAACAGTGAAACACGAAGTAATGACAAACTAACGTAAACGTAACGTCCCTTAGTCATGGCAAGTAACGACACCGGTATTTCGTTACATTTGCAGAATGATAACGAAGCTCTGTAACACGTTAACTTTTTTCCAAACTAAAGAGTAACGCTATTTCGTTACTTATTTTCGGTAACGGGCACAACACTGAAAAAACATAAGGAAGACACTTGGAGAGAGGGATTCCAGATATAGAAAACAGAAAGAAAAGGACAAATATATAACTATAACATAAACCCATTATTCTTTAGCAATTATAAAGCATCCTATTTTCACAGAAATAATATAAAAAACAGCACAAACAGAAGAAAACGAGAAGGAAAAGTCGGAAAAAAGAAACACCAAGCTTACGTTCAGTTGGTTGAAAACAAAGTTCTGAAAAGGACATACTGGTGAGATCAAAGGCATGCCCAAAGGAAACTTTTGTAATATCGGAGGAGACGGAAACATGCAAGGCAAGCTGTTTTCCTATGAACTGCGCGCAGCTGGCCAAGTAGGCAGCGTGCCCGTTGCCGAACGGCTTTCGTGTTTGGCTCCCACGCAAAGAGCTGAGCAGAGGAGGTACCTTTTTTCCATATTTCTAATTGTCGCGTTCTAGTAAATTGATCAATTCTGTTGCTTCTTCGAGGTCAAAATGTTCAACGCGCCGAATCATCTGCGCCAATGGTTCCAGAAGCCCACGCATGTACAAAAAGGGTTCCGCATGGCAAGCCTGAGTCAGTAGGGAGTTTTCGTAGACCGCGCTGCCTCCTCCGCTAAGCATTCCGCAACGAAGAAGTTGCTACTGCGCCTGCGCGCCGATAGCCTTGACTGTGGAGTTCCCGCTATCGTAGCGGGTTGCGGAGGGCCTTGCGGGGCGGCGAAAACGATCTACGAAAACTCCCTAGTCTCGCCTTAGCGTTAGATCCCGCTGTTTCGCCGCTATCGACGCCTACGGCGCTAGCCTTTTTCTATTTTTTTTTT